TGTAACCAAATTCTCTTACGTGTGGTTTGGATTTTTTTAGACAATGGGGATGGGTTTGAATTTTTTCAGAAATTCAAGAAATCTTTTATATTTTATATAAACCAACTATTTATGCACGATTTCGTTAAAATATCTAGTATTCTTTAAAGATGTGCTAATTTTCCATATTCATTTAATATTCGAAAATTTATTACATTCAATTAGTTCGCCACCGTCATAGCCTCCCCGCTCATTGATCTCACACACTTTAAATATTCGCATTTTCAATATAAACATTGAAAACGTCTATAATGGGAATTTACTTGTCTGATTAAAGAACAATAAACAATCGCCTTAATTAATTCATGTTTTATGGGTAATTAAAATTTAATTACCCAGCCGTGTTTACATTCGCCAATAAACATAAATATCTTCAAAGGCGTTGTGTTTTGTAAATTACAACCATGGAAATGATTTGGCATTTCGAAATTATTTTTGGGGATTTAGAACAGTTGCTGAATATTAAATATTTAGTGAAATTGTGGTAAATTTAAATATTAATAAAATAGGAATTAGCAAATAAATTTATTTAATATACAAGCCTTTACAAAACAAGTTAACATTTTAAATCGAAACAAGTGATGCCCCTGAAAACTTGACCATTGCATCACAATATATATTGTTGAAGAAAGTTTGAAGGTATGATTTCTGGAATATTAGCCATATTCCAAGTAGGTTTTTTTTAAAAAAAGTGTCATTAAATGCACAGTTGCTTTTGTACTTGAAATTGGAAAGCGGTCAAAATGACCGCCTTCGGCGTTCTAGTGTTAAAATACAATTTATTATTTTGACATCAGCTGTTCAAGTTTTGAGACATGTTGTCAGTGATGATAGAATAGGGAATGAAATGAACCAAAAGAGTTGTTTTTGTCAGTTTTTCTTTGAAGGCGACATTTATAACCCGAACACTAATAAACCAATAAATACGTGGAAGGGAATCTAGGCAACGAAATATCATGGAGGTTTTGATAATGATCGGTCAATATTTTTCGAATCAAATGAATCAAGACTTGATCATTACATGACATTTTTTATTATCAAGAGGAGTATATTTGATGTATAGTATTTAAGTTATATTGATTTATACGGATATGAGAATTACACTAAAATATTCACAGGGTTTTCATATTCTGATATTGTCTAGTAGTATTATTATCACAACTGGAGATGGATACCTCTCAAAATTGTTCACCGACATGACAATTAGTTTCGCCGAAAAATGTTGCGTAGCGTATCATATGGATGGCCCCGTCTGACTATACTGCTCCACTCATTGGCTGAACTGTGGAAAATAAAACTCATCGTATGAAACATAATGAGGGAACTTCAATATGAAAACGAAAATTTGTTGGAATGAACTAAGGTGTATTTAAGATGTAGATTGTTCAATGACTTATGCTAAAAATTGATGGAGAATGTTTTTGTCCCTTATGCTATCCTTCTAAAACGACATCTTGTGGGAAATATGGGTAAAAACTAGTAATAAGTACAATATTAACCCTAAAATGAGTTTTTGGTTTTTAATATTTTTGACGTTTAGGCTGATTTTTGAGTTTTACTCCATTCTGAGACTTATAGTAAAACTTTATGGCGAACATTTCTGTAGAATATTCTGAGCAGATATAACCCCGTTTTGAATGAGTTTTCAATCACTCCTGGGAAAAGGGACCGAAAAGACCCCTTTAATGAGTCGGTTGAGGGTTAAAGTTGCATACCAAAATATTCCTCGATATTTTGTCACTAATATTGCCGAAGACACTATATACCTAAAATGCAAGGATTTCAAGAAATCATAATTCGAAAGTTATCAACATTCTTGAAAATGGAGAATATTGTCCCGCCTTTTTAGGTTACATCCCGACGTAAACTTTCAAAATGCCGATACACGTATCTTCTTTTTTTAGCCCCTCTTTCATAATCTGTTGGAATTTTCCGGTAATTATCAAAAAAATTCAAATTTGTCGTACAGTGTAATTTACAAAAATTTTTTGTTGTTGTCTTGTTGTTGTTTTTTGTGATTAAAGAAAAGTCCTTATTTTTGATGGCGGGCATGATAACTTCTCACTGGAACATCGGAATCCGAAAATTTCAACGGTGTTAGAAAGAGTACATGTCTGGCTCTCGTATGAACTAGGATTATTGACTTCGATGTAAAATTAACAAAATGGCGGACCTTTGAAAAAATATTTTTGGAAAATCGCCGATTTTGACCAAAAACCAAGGTAAAAAATAAGGAAGATCTTCACCGATTGGCTTTATCCTATTTCATACGATAGCTATACGCTCACAGAGAAACGTGTAAAAATTTGGAATCGATTGGGTTATTAGTTTTTGAGTTATCGTGCCCGCCATTGCAAAAGAGAAAAACGCGTTTAAAGTTTGAGAAGCCCTTTAGCCGTCACTTGATGCTGACACAATAAATCGGCTATATCTTCAAGAGTTCTTGAGATTTTCATATGGAATTTTGTAGGAACATTCTTGAATTAGTGTAGATTCGAATTAAATAAAAAAAAAAAAAATTGACCCCGAGAATGGTGGGGTCCCCTTAAATGATTTTTGAGATATTCGTATGTTTTCATCGTCTTTTTTCACGTTTGCCAGATCTATACTCAGAAACAATTGTATTTATGAACACTACTAAATTTCGTATATATTGGAGATTATGAAGAACATTCGGATTCGTCTGTAATATTTACCGTAAATATCCTTGAATTTTTGAAACAATTTTTTCACTTAATGACCCCGATTTCTATACCGCTTCTAACCAATTAATACTAGAAATACAGATTTTGAGTATATACCACTTACTGGGACAAATTGTCTCGTCTCAGAAAATGTAAGTTTTTTTGTGAAGAAAGTACTTTCAATTCCATTTAAATAAAATATTCATTATCAGAAACTTGTAGGAAACGTTTTCAAATTATTAACACACAGCCTTAGAGCTGAAGTGTTTGTCCGGCTAGTAAATGTCTGGCTAGATAATGCTCACGATAACTCTCGAAAGGAGTTGCCAATTTAATCCAAACTTTCCATCATGATTCGGACGTCGTAATATTTGTGCCTTACATAGGATCCATATTTTGAAAAGGTGTAAATATCATATAATTTGATCGAAGTATCCGATTTAAAAAAAAAAAAAAACTTTGTACATCGTAATGTCATCGTCAGATTTTCTTTGAATCTGAAAATGGGATTTATAGGGCCCACTCCCTCTAGGGGAGAATGGGTCAGCTTCGGAATAATGCGAAATGAGGGGGTCTGCGGGCATAAGGGATTGAAAACCCCTTAAAATATGATTTACTTTTCATCATTTTCGATTTTCACCAATCGAGAAAGACCGTTAAAGGTCTGGTTTGCCGCACCCTGCAACGACAGATCAATAAATTCAAAACAATTTTTCATATAATTTAATAACTCAGGAGTTATAAAGGGGTGAACCTCTGCTTCAGCTATGTTAAAAAATGTGCAATATTGCCTATATATATTTTTATTAAATTTTAAATGAGTCAAATTAGCTCACTCCGTAAATCTTATTGTAAACATATTTGCATAATTAATGATTCAGAATTGTTCGCTACATCAGACTTCATGTTCTGTAAAAAATTCAGATCAATTTATCTTACACACTCTGATTGAGAAGCTGTAGAAGCTGCTCCTTGTAAGGTGGAGACAATTGACGATTATTTATGCTGGTCATGCAGCAAATGAGCGATATATGTGTATGATTGAATTAAATTTCCTTGTCTTGGCTCTTAAGTATAAACGATTAATTGTCAATTTATTTGAATATGATCGATTTTAACACATCTTTGAATGTCCTTTAAAATTCCAAGTTTCCAAAAAAATAGTGAAAATTCCCAGTATCAAATTTGATTGGTGAAAACCATTCTTATACATTTCATTCTTAAATCGTGGTTCAGTTCCCATTAGAATAGTTTCGTTTTATATTCTGTATTTTCTATCTAATTTTCGTCATGGCGACAATTTAGTTACTTCATTGCGATTTCAAGTAGATTAAAATCCCCTAATGATTTTGTCATTAAGCAACATTAAAACAAATTGACAAATTTGCCATGATTACAACTCGACTAATGCGAGTAGTAATTGAGATAATAATCAAAAGTAACATTGAATCATTTCTAAAACGAAAATAAAACTCAATGAAAAACTCATTGATGATGATTTTCAAAAGAGAGATAGAGAGAGAGAGTAGTGGTTTTGAAGATAAATGACTTAACTTCTCGATTTGTTGCAAATGCGACAGTAGAAAGGATAATGATCAACATCATTATCCTTCCAACCCACCACAAAATCGTTAATTTCCCTATAATTTAAGATAATTGCAAATAAAGAAGAAAACATTTAAATAATTTATGTTTTAAAGAAATGGTTTCTTTTCAGAAATTTTCAATTTTATTTATAATTGTTGATTGTTTGTTTTGCTTATACTTAAAAACCTAAAATTACAATTTTTTATACACAAATTAATTTAATTATATTAAATAATGTGGTATGTGTCAAGGGGTCGGAGGAGAAAGAGGAATGGTCGATTTACTTTTCGTTTTTTGGGAAAATCATATTTTCCTTTCCTTGATAATTCATTCCATGAATATTTTCTTTAGGAAAAGAATAAGATTTCCATTTTCAGAAGACGAAGTAAGAATTTTTTGGGAGATAATTTTTAACGTTGAAACCTAGCAACTTTTTGTGTGTGTGTTTTTGAAATAAATATTGAAATATTTTACAAAAGTTTGGTGAGTTTCAATAGTCAATTTTGTTACCACCAAAGAGATTTAGACAATTCCTATGAAGTTATTTTTTAGAGCACACCTGTTGCTTTGCCTTGGGCATTTGTTTTGTAATCTTACATAAACTTCCGTAACCGGGCGGAAGTTCAATGAAGATTTGAAACTGTATCAGTATTTCGTTTTTTTTTTCCAAAAATTTTCTTCCTTACTGCCTTACAGTTCCGTTGAAATGGTGTGTGTTAGATTAGAAGGTCTGGGTATTTGTTTTTGATAAAATACCTCATCTTCTTCGGCACTTTCATAGGCCACTGACTTGTGGATATCAGCTTTGAATCTCTTTGCGGCACTTTCCATATCTTCCAAATCGGTGAATCCGGGGAAATCCATGGGACTGAAGTGGCCAGCAATGGCTTCGGGAATGTTGGTGACATTGTGTAACATATAGGCTGGAGTGGATTGCAGATAGTTGGACCATTTTTGATAGGATTGAGAAGGTGGTGAGGCCTGAGCCACGGCATCATAGGTAACATCACGACGCTGAAAGATGGGCGATGAAGTCTTGGGCATTAATCCTTGCGAATGGGACATCATGTACATTTCCATTTCCAAATCACTGGGAGTGGGTGTCACGGCCACGTCAGGTTCTTCCGATGTCAAACTGCTGGTATCCTGGGTACGTCTTAGGCAATTTTTCGAGGGCGATGATGATGGAGAACTAGATTCGGAGTAATAACCATAGGATTTATTTTGCAGGCGACCAACTTCACCGAAATCATCACAAATCGATAACATTTCCAAAGCTTTGCTGGGTATATCCTTGTGGGTCAATGTGAAATTCTTGGTCTTGGCCTTAGGGCCATTGGGTGAGGAGTTGGTACTGCTGCTGCGGCTTAGAATACTGCGCCGGGAGGGTGATGTGCATGCACTCGATACTCCTGAACTGGAGCCAGTGCTAATGCGGCTGGAGTAACTGCGTTTAGATCCTTGTCTTTGCTGGGCAGTGGCGGCGTAATATCCATTAAGTGTTTCATTGGCATTGGTAGATGAACAGCAACCCATTTTGTTTAATTTTTTTATTTCTTTACGAAAATTACACGAATGAAAAACGAATGTTTGTTGTGTTGTCTTGAGAACGATCAATTGCTAACTGAGCATACTTCTGCCAGGTCACAAGACCTTATATACCACAGCGGACTCAGGTGAAATTTTTCGCGTAATTCTAAGGAAAAACGTAGAAATGTTGGCTGGCCAATGTTACTACCTGCCAAGGCAGGTTGTCATTGCCTACCTGGCCAAGTCGCCCTCGCACACACACACACAAGCGATTCTCGTGATGCATTTTAAGTCCCTACCATATACCTAGCCATAAAATCCTTGTATTAATCCCCTTGTTTTTCATAAAAACTTTATTTTCATGAATATTTTTACGGGGAATTTTAGTCGCGGACTAGCAGCGGCAGCATTGAATTTTAGTATTTTGCTCGGTTTATAACTGCAATTTTGGCAAAAACAAGGTATCATAAAATAACGCGTCGTATATGGCTGGCTTGCTTTGTTGTTGTTCTACTTCTTCAGGGACACCATATCGGAGAAAGGAAGCAGAAGAACACGGATCAGCGATAAACTTGAAGGATTTTTATCTTCTTAACAAATACCCGCTGTGACAATTTATGGCTTTAAAATATGTAGTAGTTGTTGTTGTTTTTGCTATTTCATTTCTCGGGATTATGGCAACAGTTGTTTTAGCCGGTCAAGAAATTTTTGCCAATCCAGGATATATTTGCCATAAAACAAAGAGAGACAGAAAATGAAACGGAATGAAAACAAAAATTTTCTTTTTAATTATTATTTTTGTTTCTTTTCTATTTTCCGATTTTTCTTTCAATCCATAAGAGACTATTGTCCTCCAGCAGGATTTATACACCCTCTCGCGAGCACCCACACACACTCTCTTATGCACATATATGTAAATTACAATTCATGGCTCATCACTAGCCACTGATCACAGCTCTCAAAGAAATTATGTAAAGTGCATTCATGGTCTGAAACAGAAGAAGAAAAACAAAAATCGGCAATAATGTTTTCTTGCCTTCCTTGTCTCTCGCACTGGGCAAATTTTATCTCCTTATCCTTCTCTAGCTCCCTAAGTAAATTGACAATATATTTTTCTATTTTGAGTTGCTCAATAAATTTGTTTTATTTGCTTTTAATTGCTATGTAAACATTATTATTTTTAGTAGGGGACCACATATCCGGAACCGTAAACCAGATTTCTTCCTTGTTGTGTTGTTTTGATTTTCTTGCACAGTTTTCCATCCGGCAGCTTTGTTGTTGCTCCCACTTTGTGACTCATTGTTGTCCATTTATTGCTACTGAATTTTATTTCGTTGATTTTAGTTTTATTTTCCAGTTTTTCTTTTTCATTGTTATTGCTTTTAATTGAGCTCTAGTTTTTCGCAATTTCCAATTATCTGATATTTGTTGTTATTGTTGGTCATTAAAAATAATAATTCCCAATTGCTGCATTCTGCATTTACTAGTTTATTCCTATGGCGAAGAAAAAAATATATTTGTTTGTATTTTCAAATGGAAAACAATGGTTTGGGACTACTACTCATGTTCCCTGGTGAGTTCTTATTTTGATTTGGATTAAAATAAGGACGCATTTAAATATTATTTTGAAATATACAACGGAAATAATTATCCCTTTGTGATTTTCATTCTTGAAAAGTAAATAAAATGTCGATAGACCATTGCATTGAAATTTTATTTAGAAGGAGCGTATTTTTATGTATTCGGAGGACTGGGAGTATTGAAATGCTAAATTACATCCAAAAAATTGGAATTATGTTATTCGTCAATATAATGTTTGCAAGGATAGCGACATAAAAATAAGGTCGAATCCCTTAGCTGTAGCCACACCGGTTGAAAATTTTGAAATTTATGTCAGTAGAAATATAAAAAATCTTATAATTCTGGCGGATGTTGGTTGTCTGATGTATATTTCAAAAAAGGGTTATCAAAGTGATTGGTCGGATTTTTTTATTAGGTAGAGATACGCTTATTTATAAATCCCTCAAAAGCATTCCAAAAAGAATACAATTGTAAGAAAATCTATCGAAAGAGTATATTGAGAAGTTGTTTGGGCGCCATTCTTAGTGAAGAATTATTGGACTACCGCTTCCTCAATCAGTAATATAGGGCGCCATTTAATGGAAATAAATTCATTGCAGAATTGCATTTTCAATAGTAGACCAGACCACCTTCCCGGTGATGTGGTGTTCCACTTATAATTATGTTCTCTAGATAGATTAGAAACCCAAACAATATTAAATTGTTCAGTCCACCAACAACGGAAACATCTATGAATGTTATTTAATGGATTACTAAATAATATCAGAATACGTAGGCATATATACTACGTATATATATACTATACCTATATAACTCCCATATCCGAGTAGATACATCACTATAATCAATTTAAAGATCAACCACTCTTCTTGGATATATTGTCAACATTTCCTATGTCCTTTGCGAGTAAATATATACACCATCGAATGTAATTTTTTCCATTTTTCACACAACAATAAGGGTTCATTTGAAGTATGAGTTCTGGATCTCGGTCAAATAAACATTATCATGATTATCATGAAAAGAGCCATGTTTGTTCCTTAGTCAGATCCCTTCATCCATATAAAATGTCGCTAAGTTCAGGTCATAATTTTAGCCTCTAAAAATACCAGAAAAGCAGAAAAATAAAGTATAAGGTCTATTTCATTCCCTAAATATTAACCGATCTTTACCAACGTTTTCTTTGGCCACAACCAGTATTACATACAAAATTTCGCGACGATTGGTCCATAACTGTGGCCTGTAGCGTGTTTGCAAATTATAATGGATGGACGGACACACATGTCCAGATCAACTCAGCTAGTCGAGATATGATCGTTATACCAAAAGGTGTGTCTAAGTCCAATATTTCGCGGCGTTACAGACTTCTGGGTCTCACACAGGGTAGGGTACAAAAATATTTAAATTATAGGTATGTTGAGAATCATTTGGGCGCCATTCATACTGGAATCCTGTTACGTACATTGAGATTTGGACTAAATTCTTTGCAAATGTATATATTTTTATTCAAATACATCGGAAGTGGAAGGTCTACTGTTTTCAGAATTTCTTAAAAAACGCTCTTCAGAGTTTTTCTATGATTTGAACTGCCAAACTTAAGCTTCAAAATAATAAAAAAAATAATTAAGAAATGGCTTCCACTCTCATTTGATCACTTTTTTTAATTTCGTCAACGTTGGGCGCCATTTACATTCACAGCAGATACTGGAATCCTGTTACGTACATTGAGATTTGGACTAAATTCTTTGCAAATGTATATATTTTTATTCAAATACATCGGAAGTGGAAGGTCTACTGTTTTCAGAATTTCTTAAAAAACGCTCTTCAGAGTTTTTCTATGATTTGAACTGCCAAACTTAAGCTTCAAAATAATAAAAAAAATAATTAAGAAATGGCTTCCACTCTCATTTGATCACTTTTTTTAATTTCGTCAACGTTGGGCGCCATTTACATTCACAGCAGATGCTGGGAAATGTGCGTCCATATAATATTCCATTGTGGCATCTTATCTTTACATGGTTTTATGTTTCCAAACGTATCACCAAGGACAATTAATAAAAATTAATATCTCGAGGACCGAATTCGGAAATACATGCATTTTTATGTTGGGCGCCATTCTGATTTCATGAATTAAAAACTCAGATAATTTCAAAACATGTTCTTAAATACGAAGTTGCTCCTTGAAAATGTTTCTTTGCCGTATTGAGAAACAATTGGACTTCATTATCATTACAATTCAGGGATAGCCACCACTTTCAGAATTTCATCAAACGTGTGCTGTTGTCCAGCATGTAATGTGATTAAGATATAAGCAGAAATGTTTAATAATTTCAAACAAATCTCCAAGAAAAAAATACTGCCACCCTAAATACATTTTTAATGTTAGGCGCCATTCTAATTCAAATTTAAGAAAAATTAAAATTTAAAATTACGTTTAGTAAGCAGGTTATATTTGGGATATAACCAAAAAGGACGTAGGTAATACATCTGGAATATCAAAACAATGATGAGGATATTTTTTCGACATTCCGATCTTCATATCTTAGCATACTAATTTATTTTTGCTATGTATAATAATTTGTTATCAAAGGCGAAGGCCTTTTCGGTCGCTTTTCAGGCCATAATGGGATCTAGTCAGGATACAATTTCCAAATCGACTGCAATATTCTAAAATTGATTTGATCCAAAGATTTTTGACGTGAAATTTTAAAACATTATTTTACACAAAACTATATTTATAGTAATTTACTATATTTATAGTAATTTTTATTTATTTAAACTTTCGTATGTAAGGGCGATGATTATTTGAATGATTTTAAGGGAGCTTTTTCTCTTTCGATTCGAACTTAATTATTGAATTTTTTCCATGAAAAGAAAAACGGCTCGTCAGCAATATTTCTAGTATTCGAACCTAGGTTCCCACAAAGTTTATTTTGCAATGAAAATTTGCACATTGAACCAGCGGGCCTTTCGAATTTTAATCATGTCTACGTGTTTGATTGTTACCATTCCTGAAATTAATTTCACAACAAAATTTGTAACTCAAATGTATTTTAGACCCCACCTTTTGAAATTATAGCTTCCTCTTCAGATGGACTATGTCATAAAATTTATATATATTTGGAGCAAATTCTTTCAAATTGCTATACATTTTACTCAGATTATTTGAGAAATTTCCATTTTTATTGGGAAAATTTAACACACGAAAATGGGAAATATCCCTTTGCTTATGGAAAAAACCTAATCCATATATATATATATATATATATATATCCTATAGAGTGATGTCCAGAGTTCAATAGGTGAAATCGGGATTTGGTTTTCACATCAGGAGAAAATGTCTACATTATAGGCAGATGCTTATAATAAACAATACTTAAGCTTAAGGTCTTAGTAGCCAGAGCTTTTACTCTTATTATATGTGT